CGAGAGCACAACAAAAGGCGAAGCAAAATGCACTATTCTCTAAAGTGGAGTATTTCATGTTCAGTTCGTTTATCTCCAAAATTGAACCTAAAAATGTTCAAATTGCTCTTGATCATTCTAATTGGATGCAAGCAATGCAAGAGGATCTCAATGAGTTTGAATGCAACAAGGTCCGGAGATTGATACCCACTCCAAAGGATGCACCCGTCGTAGGTCTAAAATGGGTGTTTCGTAATAAACCGGACATTAAGGGAAATGTGATACGAAACAAGGCTCGATTAGTAGTTAAATGTTATTGTTAGGAAGAAGGTATAGATTACGAGGAAACATTCACACCAGTTACAAGACTGGAATCAGTTTGCATCTTCTTGGCATATACTGAACACAAGAACTTTGAAGTATATCAGATGGATGTCAAGTGTGCTTTTCTAAACGGGGAACTAGAAGAAACAATATATGTGGAAAAACCACCAGGGTTCATAAACGAAAACTATCCCAATCATTGTTACATTATGGACAAAGCGGTTTATGGTCTAAAGCAAGCTCCAAGAGCCTAGTATGAAACTCTTACTCACTTTTTAAAATACGGTAAATTTAAACAAAGGTGAAGGTTCCAATGGCATTTGGAATGAAACTAACATTGTCTTTGGACAAACCAGCTGTTGATATGACACTCTATCCTCAAATAATAGGTTCATTGATGTATCTAACTGCTAGTCTTCCAGACATCATGTTTTCTGTTTCCTATTGTGCTATGTTTCAAGAGAATCCTCGCAAACCCCACATGACTGCTGTTAAGAACATATTCAAGTATCTTAAACAAACCTCCTCTCTAGGAATATGGTACCCTTGAAGGTCAAGTTTCTTTGTGCAAGCGTTCTCTGATGCTGATCTCGGAGGTTACAGTTTGGATCGAAAAAGTACAACGACATGATGTCAATTTCTTGATGGAAAACTTGTAAGTTGGCAATCTAAGAAGCAAACTTGTGTCTCCCTATCAACTACTGAATCTGAGTACATAGCCATTTCTTCTTGCACTTTACAAGTAATCTTGATTCAAAGTCAACTTCGTGACTATGGTATTAATTTGAAGCGAACCCCTTGTATTGCGACTCTGAAAGTGTCATTCGCATATGTCACAACCCAGTGCAACACTCAAAGACCAAACACATTGCATTGAGGTATCACTTTATCAAAGATCACGTGGATGATGGAAATATCGAGATTCACTTTGTTAGATCCTTTGATCAACTGGCCGACATCTTTACGAAAGCCTTACCTGAACAAACCTTCAATTACATTCTTCAAGGATTAGGAATAATAGAGGCTAAATCAGTTCCGAAACCACCTTCATACTCATAAAGTTTTTCTTTACATGCGAATTGGTGCGAACACTCGCAGTGATTCGCAGTCAATTGATCATCCTGCGAATTGGTGCAAATGCTCGGAGTGACTTGTAGTCCACTGTTCATTCGGAGTTTCAGAACTTTGTGTATCCTTTGTATATTATGTTTTTATTTTCCTATTTTTATTTCTCTTTCAGAAAAATCAAAAATTCAAAAATATTTTCATTGTTTCTGTTTTTATTTCTTTTTCAGAAAACTCAAAATAAAAAATATTTTCTTTGTTTTTATTTTTTTATTTATTTTCATAAAATTATAAAATACCAAAAGTATTAGATAATTGAGCAGGAATGAAGGTACATATTCATCAATACTCTAAATTCTAAATGATGGGATAGGTATAAATTGTGAATCTTTGCACTAGTTAATTGTCCCTAGAAGCATGCTGGTGCATGTTGTCCGAAGCCTTAGAGACTCTATGTTCGAAGCCTTTAATGTATCGATAATACCAATCGTTTCTTCCCAATCAGGCTAAGAATTCAAATAATTCATGAGCTATTTTACTCTTCTTATATCGAGTTAAGATTTGACTGCTTGGTCACTTTCACATAGCAGAGGTACATTTATATTTGGAGTCACCTCTCACTTATTCTCCATCACTTTCGCATTCATGAACGTAACCCTTGAGACTCTCAGATATTACCACTAAGGTTTATGGTTAGACAACATATGTGTTTATGATCTTGAATTCGTTATTACCACAAATTGAGTGAAACCCAAAATCCAACACAGATTTGAGAATTAACAGTGAACAATAAACATGTTCTAGATTTATCACCATGGAATTAATGAAAATCGACGTTCATGGTTTGTACATTGAAGTCTCTTTTTATTTTTGTGTGGTATTAATGAAATGTTCTAGACCTAAGAAATTTCTTCACAATAGATCCAAGTTTTTTACTTGAGATTTCCATACTTATCCAAGTGACTTATATTAACTCCTAAGCATACTTGTTCTTTTGGCTACACTGGTCAGACAAGTACTTCATACGAACGTTCAGAATTATTTTGAGTTTCAGACTTAATTGAAGAAGAAGCCACCCTTTCACCTTATTAAAGGAAACCTTTCACTGTTTCTCCACAAACATGTGATTATAATTCAACAAGACACCACACAAGAGCTTCAAAGTCTCTCTTGACTACAAAGGAAGAAATCGTTGCCTGGGATCCATATGCTTTATGTCTTCAATGACATCACTAGAATCCTTTAGAAAACTTGTTTTATTTCTTTAGATTTGGCACACTCTTGCATAAAGATCTTTATGATTTTCAAAAATATGGTCTGTTGTCCTAACGGTTACTTTCAGGTTCGGAGTACTGTAAATGGTTGTCCATTGCGAAAGTACGAAACTGTGAAAGTTAGCAACTGAAACGACAAAATTGAAGGGATGAGATTTGATAAAGGTGCGTGAAAAATTCAAACTGCTCCTGACATCACGTTGTCAGTTATGCCGCTTGATGCATGCCTGACACACACCAACCTGTCATGCTTTTTTAGGCAAATGAAGCGCCAAATGATGGTATTTCTCTCTCCTAGAATACCATATAAAAGGATTTTGATGCTTCATTAGTGCTTACCACTCTCAAAAGAACTCGAAATTCTCCTAGAATTTACTATCTACTGTTTATCATCTTCTTCATCAAGCAACAATGGCAACCTCATCTGAAACCCCCTCAGTCGCAGAACAAATGGGCCAATTGAAGGCTAACCAGAATCTCATTCTGGACCTTGAATCATCCAAGTACGATGCCTTCCTCCAACCTCTCATTGAATTCCTCCGCTATTCTTCAATGGTTATCGCTCTGAAGAAATCTGAAAATGTACCCTTGGTTCATTTGTCCAAGGCGTTTTCGACTGCAAGCTACCAATCAGGGGAAGAGACGATTACGTTTGAAATCGGCAACAAGAAAACCTACATCAGCAAGTTCCGTTTACGTAACCTGCTAGGGATTCCACAAGGGCGTGACCTAATCGACCCATAATCCATCCCCAACTCAGCAATTCTGGATATATTCTACAACATAGGATATAGGAAGTACCTTGGCCTCGTCTCCAAATTCAAGAAGCCTAACCTACCGCCAATGTGGAATTGGTTGTTTACCCTAATCTTCAAAAGATTCTCTGAAAGGGTAACCAACTCAGACTGTGCTAGCATACTGTTCATGACGATCATGTACGGTGTTTACTCAGGAGTTAATCTCGACTATGGAACAGTGCTTTGGGCTCAATTGGTTCAGAGTATACTTTTTACATCTAGGCACAATGAGATTTCCTATGCAAGTTTTTGGACTAACTTCGTTCAAAGGGCTATTGAACGACTCAACATTTTCAGTGGTTGAGGGTTCGAGCATGGAAAATATTTAGGTTTTCACACTACCAACATAATTCTGTTAGATACTTCGCAATTTTTGTTCATCGGATCTATTCCGGAGACAATGCTTCGCAATGTACTGCGAGTGAAATTATCCAAGCCTATCTCAGTCTACCGGCTTCTGGTCCTCGACCAATGACCTCTTAAATACTAAAGGTTCTCGAGGAGGCTGATAAACCAAAGAAGATAGGAAAGAAAGGAACTAAGGCAGGACTCTCCGAACCTACCCAGACTCCAAAGATGAAGGTAAAGCGAGCTGCTCGCAAGCCTCAAACTCCAACGCCAAGCGATCACAAAGATTTGGAGTCCAATACCATCTCACAAATTCCAAAGCCAGTTCAGCGTGAAACAAATGAAACTGCCGAGACTTCGCATCCAATGGTTTCGGAACCTATCACTACCCATCTTGAGGTCACATTCTTAATGCCTACTTCTGTTCCAATCATAAATGATTTTTTCCAGGATTTCTCTATTCCTTCACCCACCTTTACTGTCTCCACTCCAATCACTATCGCTCCTTGTCCACATGTCTCTATAGGTGTTTCTCAACCCCAAGCTACTCTCACACAGTCTACTCCTCTGTTTACTGATTCTACAGCAACAACAACCATAACCACTAGTGAACCTCCAATTTCTATCAACGCATCTGATACGGGGGCAGGTGCTTCAGGTTTCACTCTTGGTCATGACTCCACATCCATGTCCCATCTCCGACAAGATGTTCCATATACATTTTTTTAGGGTGATGAAGATTTTGAAGCTTTTACATTTGATCCTTTCAAAGTTCGAGAATACAGTGATGATGATGCTCTAGTCACCAAAGGGCAACTCAATGCAATCAATGAGAAGCTGGATTCACTGCTTGAGTCCTCCAAAACCTCAACCAACAGTTATTATTCTCTAGCGATGATCAAAGCTTCTCTTGAGACCCTCACCAAGGAGTACATAACTAATCTAGAGAAAACAAACAAAGAAGTTGAAGATTCTGCCACAACTTGCAAGGAAACGACAGAAAAAGTCGATAAACTAATTTTTGATTCTCAATCTTTCATGACTAATTTCCAGAATTGCTTTGAAACGAACACTGCAAAGGTGAATGCAGTAATAACCAGTCATGGAAATATCCTTCGGACTGAGAAGGATGCTCTTGAGCTAGTTTGCACTAGCATTCAATTAGACAATACATAATTTCACACCTCCATCTCATCCAAGATAGACAAGCTTCATGAAGACTTGGCTATTGAAAAAAAAATCATGGATTAAGCTCGCCGTCAAAATAGGGAAGGTGAAAGTTTTATCTGTCAAACTCAATCATGCCAATAAGCGAATTAAAGATCTCTTGTCTGAAAAGGCTGCAATGAAGAGTTGCATCGCTGATTTGAATGCTTACACGAACAATTTCATTGAAACTCATAACTCTCTAATCACGATCTCTGTTAGGAAGCATCTGATTGATAAAATTCGGCCTGTCTTCGCAATGCTAAATAGGATTGAGGGTGTTTCGGAGTCTGGCACACTTCCAAAACTAGGGGGATATAGAGAGAATCTATCTTCCAAAGAAACCTCGAAACCAGCCGGTACTATTGAAGGATATGATGCTCAAAAGCCAAAGTCAAATGTCGAACCGAAGGATAATGTAGCTTCGGCTTCAAAAAGAAAAGAGAAAATAGTAGATGACGATGAATAGGAAGAAGAGGACGCAAATGAGAAACTCAAATGCAAAGCACGTGATGCAGTTCTTGATGAAAATCCGCGAATCGCAAGAGAAGCAGAAGAAAAAGAGAAAGAGCTTCGTGATGATCAAATCACTCTAGAAGCTACAAGGTTGTTATTTCCTCCTTGGTTCATGGAGCGAATTTTGACAAAAGCAACCGGCAACCCACACATTCATTGGTTGGAGTCGGTCACTTCTTTTGGATTGGAGAACACAATGGATTCACAACTAGATTTCCCAATCACTCCAAAACCCTTTTTGTTTTGCATCTTTGAGGGGATTGCGAATGCTTCTGATTTGGATGAGAATGTGAATAAGTCCCTGATGGCATTTTACATGAAGCATGGCAAGCCACAATACCAGACCTAGAGTTTCTATCAAGGTTATTGGGCTGATAGAAACTGAGAGTTTTGTCAATGTAAAAATTAAAACAACTCGAGGTTCTGCGAATTCTATGTTCGAATTCTCTTTTGCAAACCTGCCATGTTTAAAAGCCCTATGATTGGATTATACTATTGCACCTCTTGATTAAGGAAGAAAAGAAGTATGAACCAATTGTTGATCATATCAAGAGGATGTTGGTTTCGTACATCCATGAAATAGCGAAGATGGATGTTGAAATTGCCTTAGTGTTGCGAAAGAAACCAACTGCCCTTCCCAAAGCTTCTACGAAACAAATCGAGAAGATGAAGATGGGGAAAATAGAAAAGGAAAACTGGAGCATGATGTTTCAGCAGGGATCAAAAGAAAGGGGAGACATCCATAAATGTCTGTTTTCTCTGCCTGATAAACACTTGTTTTCCACCACTTGCTTGAACTATATTTTGGAAATCACAGGTAATTGCAAAGCAAATGAGGATGTTGCGAAGAGGTGCTATTCATATATAATCAGGTGGTATATAGCAATTCACAATACTCTCCTCAGTATCATGTCCAAGCTCTTCAAGACGCAGAAATGAACACAACCATGAAGAGTCTCCTATCTCAATTGACACAAAGGGGGGGATTATTGGGCCTAATGGATTGCGTCAATTGTATTTGTTTTGTGTAGTTCATATTATGTAATGGGTTGGGCCTGTATAACCCGATTATTAATGTGCTAGGGTCTAGCTATTCATAGTGCAAGCATGCACCATATCTGGTGTCGATTCTCTTGTAACCCTAAACATGCCTTTACAGTAGCAGTTACTGATCGAGCTCTTCTAAGGCATAAATTATAATCATTAAACACTACTTTGATCTTCATTCTTGTGTTTGATTCTTATTCATGTTCTTGAATCTATCGATCAACTCTTTTATTTATTCTAACAATATCATTTCCATAAAACCATCAAGATTTAGCAAAACATCATCGAATCATAGTAAATCATAGAATGCAAAAACATGTGGTGTGTGCCCTGCAACCGTTCCGAGCTCTTCCATTTGAAAACTGAAGTACCTGAAACATAAACTAAAAACGATATGCACAAAGCTTAGTGAGTTCCCTAAGATACTTTATACGATACATGACTAAGCACATAATAGGCCCCTCCCCAATGAGATACGGGCCCCGCCCACACTCTCATATCAGGCCCCACCCATTAAGATACGAGCCCCGTCCACATTCACATAACAGGCCCCGCCCACACTTACATAACGGGCCTTGCCTACTGAGATATGAGCCCCGCCCACACTCACATAACGGGCCCTGCCCAACATACAAACACATAATCCTACCAACACATGCAATAATCACAAAGATAACAACATACGATACAGTCATCGGGCCTTACTCAGCATCGAGCCCCGCTCGACATACATACAAATACATTAACATGAAAGAGTCACATAGACAACTAGCATCCTAACATAATAAACCATGGGCCAACATTAGTGCCTCGACTCGCTAAACATAGTGAGGGGACTCACCTGGTACTGCCGAATCACATAGACGATCCTTGGTTGTAGGCTGACAAATACCCGAACTATTAATATCAAAACAACACCCAATCAACCTTTGGGTCCCAAACCATATCCATAAATCCATACTTGGGGGTAAAAAGACCAACCTATCTTAGTCTAAGACTAAGGCCTAAACTCACAATCTAAAAGGCCTAAAAGCCAATTAATCAACCAAGGCCCAAATATGGCCCAATTTGGAAAATTGGGCCCAAACCCCTTACATGGGACTTACCCTAAGGCACAACCTTTTACCTAGTCCAAAACACTTATAATTAGATGAACCATTAATAATTCAAACACCCAAGCCCAAAAGAAAGCCCAAACTTGAAGCCCATTTTGCAAAATCTCATATAACTGAATGCACGGTGCGTACTAAGCTATACGCTAAGCGTACATGCTATTTGGCATGTATGATGCGCGTATAGACTTGTACGACCAACATACTCATCCATTAAGCCAAAATTGACATTAATCTCTTAATGCTTAAGTCCAGAAGTCCAAACCACACATCTAAGTCTAAAAAAGTGTCTACAACCATAAAGTTACTGACTTGGAGACTTTACATGCCCCAAATGAACCATTTTCAAAATAAAGCATTATACTTTCACCAAATGCATACCATCTCATGCATGAGGGATTCCAAAACCTAAAGGAGACAACTTTATGCATCTAGAACCTCAGAAACACTAAGAGGGGCAACTCATAGCTCCTAGAGTGGTACCAAACCACTAGATCTCTCTCTTGGGACCAAAAAGGAACAAACTCATATATAATAGATCAAATACATTAATGAAAAAGATCATAACTTTTTACCTCAAACAACCTGGAAATAAAGCACATAATCAAGATCCATAAGCTCTTCCTTGATCCACAACCTTGCACCAAACTCCATCTTTTTGGAAATAACCTAAAAACACCAAGATGCACATATTGAGCTCAAAAACACCACCATGGAGGCTAAGGGACAATTTCTAGGGTTTTAGGGACTTGAAGGATGGTAGTGAGGCCAGCCCAGAAGACTTAATGTGCTTATATACGGTACACATAAAAAATTAGGGTTTTCCCTTTACCCCTTGTACGCCACGCATACTCCTCGGACGCCCTGCGTATGAGATCTCGCACCCCTGATTCAACCCTTGTAATACACTAAGTGTACACCACATGACAACTAACGTAACGCTCTTTGCATTAGTACACCCATCGTACTCCTTAGGTATTCCCCGTGTACTAGGGTTTCCTCTTAAATCCTTAAGCACTCTGAAAGCCAAACTTCTTCGATATAAATCTGATTCTGACGATCCTTATATCCATGAAAAGGCAATGATAAGCTCTACACTTTAATCAACTCGTACCTGCCTTACCATCTCCTGAACAAACATCCATTTTCTATAGAAGCCCGAGCTGACATATTACCAAAATACCCTTGGGCACCAAAGCATAAACCGATTACCTGGATCATCCAAATTACATATTCTACCCCAAATAAGTCCAAATCTCAATTCTTCAAGGGTCCTAAGTCTGCTAATACTCAATCCTTGATCACCACCCCAAAATGGGAAATGATTCGAAATTGGGCGTTACATGTTTGTAGAATTTGTTCTAGTACTCATCTTCTATTAGATTGACAGTAATGTAATCCATTGTACAAGATTTATGGAAGAATGTAAAGTAATCATAAATCCTTGTATTATTCAATATATGTTGTTTAATTATGATCCAACGTTTTTAAATCGCAACCCCAATGTTTCCGCCGACGGTCAAGGTGTGACATAATGCCTCCCCCATTTTCTTTCCCAATACTACCATTGGTTTTTTTTTTTTTTTTTTTTTTTTTTTTTTTTTTTTTTTTTTTTTCCTGATATCCCAACAGCATCAGGGTTATAATTTGCTTGACTAAACAAATTATAAAAAAATATTGACATGAAACATTCTTAAAAGGAAGTATATTATCCGTGCTAATCATCACTTATTACAATATCAAGTAACTCTATTATATATTTAATTTTCTTAGATATGTTTGCAAATCATGAGATAATTGTCTTTTAAACATAGCCACCACCCATCATTTAGTGATTAAATCGATATGGACATCATTGTAAAATTTTGCCGCTGCTTCATTGATGAGTTTTCTAGGTTACAAAACAACAAATTTATGCAGCGTAATCATAAAACTATTTTATGGTTACATGCAACCTAGTGATCTGTGATTTTTCTCATTATAACACATACTATGAAAAACTAATCTAATCTAGGTATACTAAAAAATTACAATGATTAGAACACATACCTTTGTAATAGTCGGATATCGTAACCCTTTTGATCTTTATGTCTTCCTTGGAAATCTAGCACCAATAGTGTGAATGCCTCTAATGGTTCACATCTAATACACTAGAAACACTAGGAACTATTTGGAGAGAGGAGGGATGAGGATTTTCGAAATTCTCTTTCTGAGTAGCTAGAGCCGAAAATTCTAAGGGTAAGGGTCCTTATTTATAGCTGGTGGATCTCCAAGATAAACCTTAATTTGAATAATAAATTAAATATTAAGATTTTATCTATTAAAGTCCTTATCATTATTAGCTATCAAGAGGCTTCCAGTACCCTTGTGGAACCTCTCCTAAACCGTCCAAGCTAGGAAGGGTCTGAAATTGCCTCCATTGCTCAGTTGTTGAACAATTACAATTCAACCCTTTATCCTTTAATTAATTCTAATTAATAAAAAATTAATTTCCAATTAATATTGACTAATTCTAAATGAATTCTTAATCATTTCTAATTGATATATTAATCAGATAATAAATAAACAAATCATTTCCTCACACTCTTAAATTTGTTCCTAGCTAATTCTAGTTATTGAGAGCAACCCAAAAGGATTTCGCTTTTATTGCATAAAGTTATATCAGTTTAGTTATAACCTTAAATACATAATCCAACATTCATTCCTCTAAAAAATATCTACATTCAACACATTCTAAACCTAAAAAAATATGTCCCTTCTGCAACTCGTTTTATCATATGTTCTCTTTTGCAACAAACCTTAAAATCGATTTCCATTCTAACATAAAACTAAGAACAACTAGGATACAAATCAAGAACAAAAATCAACATCGAGTACCATTTTAATGAAATTTTTTTATAAGGAAAAGCTTTATAGACTGAACTAAACCACGTATTATATGCTTTAAAAAGTGTTTGTCCTGCTCGTTCTTACCATGTACTAATTATTTCCCACATATCAAATCCTTTTTAACTATTTAACTATTTGGGTTGTAGTGACTTGGTAAGACGTGCAAAAGATATGGTTATGGTGTTGTTCAACTTTTACATTCTGTAGCCATAAATGTTCGTTTGTAATGATTCCACCGCATGAGGCATAACCTCATGTTCACATGACAAATTAGTTGGTGCACGAAAGCCAGTTTGGATGT